TTTTTTTGGGGGGGGGGGAAGTAGAAATATATATTTTTTCTGAGAAAAAAAATGGACTAGTTTACTAAGAAGTCTTTGAAAAAAGTCCAAATTATTTTTTCCTTAGTTTTCTAAGAATTACGAGAAATAAGACAGAATTCCCTTTCTAAGAATTTTGGGAAAAAAGGCAAGATTCGTACTTTCTTTTCTCAGAATCCTGACTTTAATCTAAAAAAACTTTTCTCCAACTGTTGTACAGAAAGTCAGAATTCTAGGATTAGTCCGAATTTTGACCAAAAAAAGTCCAAACAATTTACGAAATTCGGAAAAAAGACAGAATTCCTTTTCCAATCATTTTCAGGGGGGGAAAAGGATTCTGGAAAAGGTTCAGAAAATGTTTTTCAACAATTCTGACTAAGAAGTGTTTGAAAAAAATCCAAATTATTTTTTTTCGAAGAACTCTGGGGAAAAAAGGAATTTTGGAAAAAGTTCTGAATATTTTTGTTTTAAAGAATTTTGAGTAAAAGTTGAAAAAATGTTTTCTAAGAATTACGAGAAATAACACAGAATTCCCTTTCTAAGAATTCTGGGAAAAAAGTCAAAATTCGTACTTTTCTTTCTCAGAATCTTGACTTTAATCCAAAAATAACTTTTGGTCAGATCTCACATTTGTTCTGATATAAATAAAATCTATGCATCCTAATTTGTATCAAGTTGTATTCACTCCACACAAGTAGTACATCCTTGTGTGGAGTGACATCTCAAAATGGCCGAAAGCAAGCTGGTGTTTTGAGAGAGGAAACTTTGTTGAACTGTTTTAATGTCCCTGTAATTGTAGATGCAGCAGATGCTAACATATCACCTCTGATTATCTGGTTCTTGTGAATGTTTCAATCAACTTTATTAGTTTCAGTCACTGGATGGCATAACATCAAGTGTTCTCCTTGCCTCAGGCTGAGACCACTGTCAAAGCACGTTTGCCTTGTAACACTGACATTAAAAACAAACAATAACATCCGAACGACTGTGTCCGCCTGACATCTCTCCTCGCTGAAAAAGCCTAATGTACATTTAGAGAAATAATTGTACTTTTATTGTTACGTAAACACTTAACGGGTGGATGCTTCTGTGGTGTAAAGCCTCTTCACATTTCTCCAGACGCAGGCACTAGAGAGATTGTTAATGTGACCCAAAACTGTCTTTCTCCTCGTCTTGGTCTGACCTCTTTACCCGTGTGTCATCAAGCATTCCAGCGGCCAGCTAGCTCTGAACCGCAGAACAATCCCATTTTAGAATAAAGCCCACGGTACAATAACAATAAGGAGCTTTTACGCCTTCGTTTGTTGGACTTTCAGCTTGCTTGCAGTTCCCAAAGAATGCTTTTACTTCTACTACGGCATGGTTCATAAGTAAAACAAAATGAATGCTAAAAAGCTAAATACTCATGTTTGTGCATTTCACAATGACTATTCTTAGTTTTGTTTATGCTTTTTAATTACAAAAGCATGGTGTCTGGGTCTCTGGTCATGCTTCAGAAAGCTTGTGTCCCATTTCACAAACTGTATCTCCATCTTGTCTTATTATTGTACTTTTATTTTTAGTGTATTTACAAACAGTTTTTGTATTAAAATTATACCACTTTATCCACTGTATGTTAAATAGGATTTATTAATGGTTTGATCATTTACTAATGATAACACAGACCTGCAAACATTTGAATACAACTCAATTCATAGCGTATGCATGTTACACACAGTCACATTGCTACAGAACATGTTTTGCTTTTATCTGATTGTGTCTGCAGCTCATTCTGGGTATATTGTTGGTATAATGTTCTTTGGCAATAGTTCCCAAAATAAAAAGTAGGTTGAGTGCATGTTTTGTATTAGTCATAGCCACAGTTCACCCTCCAGAAACCTCTGATCTCTGAGCCAGATGCTAGTCCTCTGACTCCATCTGCACGCTGTACACATCCCATTGGTCACAAAGCACCGAACACAGTGGACCAGGCTTCTGATTGGCCCAGCTGGCTGTCACTCAAACGCAACGAGAGTGGTGATTGGCTAACGCGTCCTCACCGAAGCAGCTGATTTGTTGACGCGTCTCTGCCTTGGCTTTTCTCCAGCGGAGGGTCCAGTGGTGCTGATGCTGTGACAATGGGAGTCCTCCAGAAGAGAAGCGGCATCCGGACCGAGCGACATTAAACACGGCGAGCTGCACCGGGCCGGGAGACGGTAGAAACACCGGGAGGAAGCTGCAGCTGCTGCCGGGAAAGGTGGGTCTAAACCGGGAGAAATAACTGACATGACCGGGGGAGGAGGGGGACGGTTATCCGCTGTGGGGGGCAGGGGAGACCCACTTTGTTATAGTGCTGATGGACTGTAAACCCTGCTGCGGGCTAGGTGAAGCAAGGTTAAGAAAACAAGATGCTTCTCTTTCTGCTAATGGGTGAAGATAATATGCATGTTGCAGCTGTTGTCTTGCAGCTGTGAGTCAACTCTTCACCTTGGCCTACTGCAATGCGGAGAAAACATGCATACTATTCCTCATAATGCACTGTAAATAAGTCCTCAATGCACTTAAATAATGCTAAATAATTCAGCATGGTTCTGTGCTACACTGTGCATATTTAAGGTATTTTAAAGCACTTCCGGTTTGATGCAGAATTAACGTATGCATTCGTAGGCTATATGTTTAGCAGTACTGAGCGTAGAGATATTTCAGGATAATCAGCCAAAACTTTGACAGCCATTGAATGGACTTGCACAGATTTGTAGTGGTGCAGTGCATGCTGGGATTTGTAGTTGTGTGTCTGTTGACAGTGAGTGAGTGGCAGCCAGTCTCTGCTCGCTCATGTGTGAACCAGTGAAGAGCTGCAACGATTTGTCGAGAAATTGATAGTTGAAAAGTCATTTTTCACGCAGAGATTGCAGAAAATGCTGTTTCAGACTCTAAAATATAGAGATTTGCTGCTTTTCTATGTTTTATACTCAAATAAAATGGATATGTTTCGGTTTTGGAGTGACAAAACAAGACATTTACGACTCCTTGGGCTTTTTACTATGTCCTTGACATACAATGTAATGCCAAATCAGCTTTAATGTTTAGTCGACATCAATTATGGTAAGTTTAATTGTGAAAGGAATTGGCAACTATTTTGATGATCAATCGTTCGTTTAAAAGTACATTTTCTATACAAAACTTGTAGACATTTATTTTTTTGCTTCTCAAATGTTTATCCAGCGTTGAACTGTTCTATGAATACTAAAGTGTCTTTTGTACGGACAAAACAATGCATCTAAAGAAATTCCCTTGTTCTTTTCACTATTATTCTCACATGTTATCGAGTAAACAATTAGGTGACAATGGTCTAATGGTTATTTGCAGCCTTACTTAACAGCGGTCCACATACAGTATGTTGATCTAATGCATTAAACATATGCTGACCCTGGTGATACGTGTTTCTGTTGCTCTAAAACATGGCGTCTCTCCCCCCCCCTCTGAAGGTCCAGAGATGGGAGCGTTCAGCCGGCAGAAGTTCTTCCAGGAGCTGTGGGGGGGCTGCCTGCTGCCCACCGCCCAGCAGGGCCTGGAGCAGGTGTGGCAGCTGCTGCTCATCTGCCTGCTCTGCCGCCTGCTCTGGATGCTGGGTGAGACTCTCTACAGCTAATTATAACTTTATTTATATTCCAGCTTCCGAAGAATCAGGCACACGCAGAGGGTGTTAAAGGGGTACGGGCCCAAATTCATAAAAGGGCACACCGGCGATTTTTTATTAAACAAAAATGCCTGGAATCGCTAAGTTTGTGTTGAATAAGATTTGCAACGATGGCCTTTGTCACCTCCGTTGCAAACAGAAATGTAGTGATTTGGAAAAAGGACACTTTTCTAATTTGAGGTCAAAAAGGACTGTGCTCAGGCCCCCCTGTGAGTTCTATCTGTGCACGTGCCTGAAAAGTGCTCTCTAGTCCAATAAATGAAACGAAGTTAATGCGAAAAGCGAGTTTAAAAAACAGATGGTTGTAAGACCAACTCCAACAGGAAGACTTTTCCAGAGATGTGTGACCCTAACAGCTAAACAGACAGTTCCCTTTAGTCATTCTAAGTATAGATAGTGTATAGCATGTTGTACTGAGATTATGAGCAGGAAGATATGGGCATACATTTAAAGTAATGTTACAGATTTATGGTGGGGATAGACCATGTAACTCTAAATCAATCCAGAAGTTAACTGAGAATAATGGCAATGAGACTAAAATGGGGGTTATAGGATCGTGTGTGGATTAAATATAAGATCAAATAAGATAAGATGTACTTCATTGATCCCAATTTGGGAAATGTTTGCGTTGCAGCAGCATAAAAGACAAGGCATTGCATATAAGAGACATTAAAAGATTAGAAACAAACAATTCTAAAATGTAAACATATCACATAGAAATAAAACAACATTAAAAAGTAGAAAATATTTCAAGTTGAAATACCAACTTACAGTAAACTAAATATGAAGCAGGATATTATATACAATATGTTACAAATTAAAGGTATTTTTTTATATCCAGACCAAAAGGAATATAGCAGTTTCCTGGTTATTATAGGGTGGAATGAATAAGTAAAAAAAGTATATTGTTTTGTATTTTCTGCTTTAATTAAGAACTGCCAAATTAAGTCATATACAGATTGAGTTTAATCATACAACAAATAGATATCAATTAAAGCCATACTCTATTTTTACATGCATGCACACAAACACAGCGTTATCAAAGTCAAGTCAAAGTCAACTTTATTGTCAATCTTTCAGTTTGTGTGTGTACAGACATAGAGATCGAAATACTGTTTCCCACAATCCAGAATACAAAAATACAAAGATTGTAAAAATATGTATAGAAATATGTATATATCTATATCAACAGACACATTTGTACATATGCACACATTAAGAAATAAATAAAAGCAATCAATACAAAATAACAGTCACTTCAATATCTTTGGGAAATGTACATTAGTGCAAGATTGTCTGAGGTATTTGAACTTCACTTGAGTATTTCTACACTTTAATTACACGGTTAGCTGAATACTCGATTCTGATTGGTCAATTTGGACATTTCAGAGGTTGTTAATACTCGATAACACACCGCTGCTAAGCAAAATAATGACTGTTGCTAAGGAGGATCAAAGGAGAGAAGGAAAGAGGTTCAAATCAAAGTCAACTTTATTGTCAATCTTTCAGTTTGTGTTTACAGACAGAGAGATTGAAATACCATTTACACACAAGTATATATATACAATCAACAGACACATTTATACACATGCACACATTAGTGCAAGATGTGACAACTTGTGACACACTCGTAAAAATGTCAGACATTTTCCTTTAAATGAATCTGCACTTCTCTCATATTTCTCTCTCTGCCCCTCAGGCCTCCCGTCCTTCCTGAAGCACCTGGTTACGGTTGCCGGGGGTTTCTACACCCTCTACCTGTTCTTCGAGCTGCACATGATCTGGGTGGTGCTGCTCAGCCTGCTCTGCTACCTCTTCCTCTTCCTCTGCAGACACTCCACCATGAGAGGCACCTTCCTCTCCATCACCGTGCTCATCTACCTGCTGCTGGGGTGAGAGCGGCGTCACATCGCGTCTACGATTACAAATCAGTGTTGCAGGGAAGTTTAATTTGTGGCGAGAAAGATATTAAAGGTCCCCTATGATACTGTTTTTCATCAATATATTATAGGTCTCAGATATATACTGTATAAAACATGTCTCTGAAGTGTTTGGCTCGAAACACCAAACAGATCATTGCAGCATTACCCATAATCCCCTCTGTTTCAGCCCTGTTCCAAAAGTGCTGATTCTCTGTCTGTTACTTTAGATGAAAATAAGGAGCCCCTCCCCACGCCCCTCTGAGAGAGATTTGTTTAAAAATAACTCAATAGACGCTTTCACACCGGAGTACTTTTCCCTTTTAGTTCCGATAGTTCCTGGGATTTCGCGTTCACACCAAAAATATCTGGAACTAGAACCTAGTTCTCGGGAACCTTTTCACCCCTTTTCAGTCCCTGCTAGAGAGCAGGTACTTTCATGGGAGAAAAAGTTTCCCATTTCTGATTGGCTGGGCGGATTGAAAACCACGCCCCGTAAAACTCCGAAAAGCTTTGTGAAGCCGCCATTTTATTTGCTCGCATTAGCATTATTAGCATTAGCCACGCGCACAAACGGAGAGAGACTAACTTATGGCAACACAAAAT